CAAGTGCTACTGGGTCTCCAGAGGAAGTAAAACGTGGAGCGAAAGCTGAGCCGACTGCTCAGCGAGGGGCTCCCAGCTGCTGGTGATTCGGGACCCCAAGGAGCTGGTAAAGGGGACGGTAACATCCTCCTGGAGCTGCCCCGGCAGGGCTGGGCCCTGGGTACAGAGTCCGAGGGCGCATAGGCTACATGGTAGATCTTGGATTGTCAATACTGCCTAAAGGACTTGGACACCCCATTCCCATTAATTGTTAATAACAGGGTGTCCAAATCCCCTAGGCAGCTTTGGCAAATCCGAGGTTAAATCACCAGCCCTAAGAACAGGGACACACAATGGTGGCTTAAAGCTACTGGTACCCTCCCCGTTCTGGGATGTGCCCAGCACAATTCAGCTGGAGAGAGGGGCTGTGTGTGTGTGTGAGAGAGAGAGTTATGAGGATTGAGGGCTACAGAAAAAAGGGGGTAGGTGTGGGGATGGATGGACAGAAGAGTATAGACAGGTATGTGTGGGGATGGATAGGTGTGTATAGAGATAGATGAACAGCCAGACAGTAGTTCTGGTGCTAAAGTTGTTGAGAACTTGGATTTGCAAGAAAAGAACTGACAGCATGTCTGGTCACCAGCTGCCTGTCCCACACTCCCTCCAGGAGTCCCTACCAGCCCTGACAGGAGGCACGTCTCAGTTCTGGATCAGACTGTCCGTCTCCTCCCCGGAGAAGGCCTGGACCTGGCTGGATGGCTCCCGGCTGGATCAGACCCAGTGAGTGATTCCTTGAGTCAAACTCTTTCCCTTCCCTCCATGGCCAGAAGGGGCCAGGGCCAGGGATGGGGGAAGGGAGGTTTGGGGGAAGGTCAGAAGTTTGGGGGAAGTCATTTTCAGAGTAAAGTGATGAAAAAGAGGAGGTGAAGCGGGAGCCCTGGGGGCAGAGAGGTCGCCCAGAGTCAGGACGTGGAGTGAGAAGAGCAAAGGGGCCAGGCCAGAGCCCTGGGGATCCCCCAGACAATGGGGCAGCGGGGAGGGGGAGACAGAGAGCAGCCAGAAGGGGGCAGCGTCGGCCCAGCCTGGTGGGGAGGAGACGCGGAGCAGGGGAGGGAGCTGGACAGGGTCTAGCCCAGCAGGGAGGATGAGGCTGGAGCAGGTCCCTGGGCTCTGGGCAGGGAGAGGCCGTTCGAGACCCTGGCCAGGGTTCTGACAGTGGGGAGAGGGGGCAGCCCCAGGGCAGAGCTGGAGGAGACGACGGCTGCGGATCCCATTAGAACAGGGAAGAGCCGCTACCGACTGCGTGTGATGGACCCACACGCGCTGACAGGGCCCCTCTCCTTTGTCCCGCAGGTTCCCGGTGTCAGGCCCCGCTGAGGGGAACAGCTGTGGGGCGCTGGTGGGGAAACAGCTTAATTCTGACACCTGCAGCTCTGGATTTCAGTGGATTTGCCAGAGAGATGCCGTCCCGCTCTGAACAGGGTACGGGGGAGACCTCAGAGCGCGGCACCATTACCCCCATTTCACGTGTGGGGAAACAGAGCCACAGACACTGACCTGCCCAAATTACACCGAGAATTAGTGGCAAAGTGGGAAATAGAACCCAGGAGTCCTGGCTCCCAACCCAGTAGCCCCTCCCTCTCGCCCAGAGCTGGGAATAGAACCCAGGGGTTCTGGCTCCCAGTCCTACCTCAGCCTAGAGAACAGCGATTCCAAGCTCTGGCTTTGCGTATCCCAGCAGGGGCTGGAGAGCGCTGCGGGGGCCGGGGTTGGGGTTGTAGGTATCAGGCTCTGCACAGCCAGGGGGAAATTTATCCCTCACCCCCCCAGGATTGGGAGAGAAGAGTCTGCCCCAGGTCACGTAACTCAGCACAGATTCAGTGTCCAATGGAGCAGAACTGACTGACACCAGCTGGGGATCTGGGCTTTCCCCTGTATTTCACCCCTGATTAATTTCCTTTCACCTCTTGGACAGGTTCCGCTGTCAGCTCCCTTCCCCGGCCTGTCCACTGCTCCCATCCAGCCTGTGACCTGATGCACCTCTGCCCATCCTGCCCTAACGGATCGTTAACTCCTGTCACTAACGATGGGGATCTCAGCTTCAGAGGTGTCTGTGTGGATGTGCTGTCCACTTGCTACCTCCTTAGAGCACTTTAAGGAGATCAGTGTCCCCAACCCCGATCCCAAATGGAACCTTTCCCTGTGCATTATTTGACGCTCTCTGGGGTCGGTGTCTCTGCCGGAGGAGAACCCTGGATCTGACTTTAGACAAGTCACTTGCCCAATCTGTGCCTCAGTTTCCTCTCCCACCCTTTGTCTGTCCTGTCTGTTCAGATGGTGAAGGGACCACAATAAAGTCCTGATCTCAGCTGGGGCAGGGACTGTCTCTCTCTGAGTGTCTGTGCAGTGCCTGGCACAACGGGGCCCTGATCTCAGCTGGGGCAGGGACTGTCTCTCGCTGTGTGTCTGTGCAGTGCCTGGCACAACGGGGCCCTGATCTCAGCTGGGGCAGGGACTGTCTCTCGCTGTGTGTCCGTGCAGCACCCGGCACAACGGGGCCCCTGATCTCAGCTGGGGGCAGGGACTGTCTCTCCCTGTGTGTCTGTGCAGTGCACCTGGCACAACGGGGCCCTGATCCAGTTGGAGCCTCTAACTGCTGATGTCATACCTGATGCTTAGCATGGTGGTGAGGGTATGTGTGAAACTGTCTGAAGTTTGTCTATCCATAATGAGGGCCGTCCTTAGGATTTATGGGGCCCTAATGTAAAGATAAATAATAATTAATAGTGTATAATAAGCATGTCATAAAAACAAATTTTATATTTCCAAGATCACTCCTTTTATAATTTGTACTCAGGTAAAGGAGAAAATCCCTGGAAATATTCATTTTTAGGAGGGGGTTTGTGAGACTTGACATTTTATGGAAAGGGTTGTTAAAGTTTGGGAACCACTGGTTTAAGGGCTCTCTTCAATGGGGGGAGGGCGGGCAGTGAAGTAGACTGTGAAAGCAAGATTTTTTTTACTATAGTAATTAAAATTAAAATGTGTATTTTAGATAAGGGAGATCTTTTGAAGGATTTATTTAAATAACCATATGTCTGAAGATCCAAGCATTTAAGACTAAGGATGATTGTGCAGCTAAAAATCTATGCAAGGATTTTTTAGAGATGTGATTTTATAATCTTTACCAACTCACTAATGAAATATTTTTAAAGCAAATTTTACACTAAGGTCCTGTAGACTGACATGTTCTGAGTAAATAATGTTTTCACCCCTCAGCTCAGATGCACAACTGTTTTTGTCAGTACATTCAGAAACTGACAGTAGATACCTGGGGGTTGTCAAATGCCTGTTAAAGAGCCATTCAAGGGGTAATGAAGACATTTAACAGTTTGTGTTGTGCTAATAGGTCTGGCAGGCTGGAGGCTTTTTCTCTTTTAACTACTAGATCCCCTTCCCAGGAAGACTCAGAGCCTGAGGAAGGGTCAGAACAGGGACAGGAAAACCAGTGGGGTGGACACTAAGACCCAGTGGTGCCCCAAATTTTCAGGTGCTTTACCCAGCTGCCTATGCCTGAAGACAGCCCCGGGTGTCCCCAACCACTTGCTGCCCTAGGCCACTGCCTAGTTCGCCTAGTGGTTGCACCGGCTCTGCCCCTCTCACACAGCAAGCCTCTGAATGCGACCCCCCCTCCCCCGTTATAAATTAAAAACACTTTTTTATACATTTAACACCATTATAAATGCTGGAGGCAAAGTGGGGTTTGGGGTGGAGGCTGACAGCTCACAACTCCCCATGCAATAACCTTGTAACCCCCTGAGGGGTCCTGACCCCCAGTTTGAGAACCCCTGCCCTAGTGAGTGGCGAGCCCTTCCCCTAGAGAACATCCCCCTTGGCAGGCAGAGGGAAAGATGAGGAGGATCAAGCAGAAAAAGGAGAGAGAGAGAGACACACACACTGGTGTCAGTTCATTAGTGCTTGGTGGGAGGGGCGCTTACAGCTCTGTTGGCAGGGTGCAGCTGCTGCCTCAGTTTCCCTGCTGGGGTGGGAGGAGCTGCTCACATGAGGATTTAAGGTTTACAAAAGAAAAATTTCCCTTCTGGGAGCTGGTTTATTATAAAAATGTTGTGTACACACACACACACACACTCTCTCTCTCTCCTAGCACATTCCAGCATCCTCTTTTGTCCACGGTGCCTCTTCACGCTCCAAAAGCCCTCACAGCAGGGCTTGCAAAGCAGCCTTCCTCATCTTACAGCAGGAGTTCGAGTCCTTCCCCCAGGCTGCAGGGTTCACCCCGGCCCCTTCACTCTGTGGCTGCAGAGGCCACAGCACCTCCAGAGACAGTCTCGGGCAGATCAGTCTAGCCCCAGCTCTTCTCCGGCTCCTGCCCTGGGGCCTCTGACAGGCAGGACGCTGCAGGTTTGGCTGCTCCCCTTCCAGTTTCCAAGTCAAAAGATCCCTTCTCTGTGCCATAGACAGAGCCTGGGCTTTTATACCCGTTTCCTTTCCCAGCAGGCCTGGCTGCCGCCTGTCACCACCCTGCTGCTTGTGAAGTACAAACAACTGCCATGACCTATCTTATGGCTACTGTATGTTCCCTCTGTCCGCTTGTTGGGGTGCTGCTGTCTGGTTACGAGGGGTTCACTCAGGCCGGGGGTAGCTGCATGTTGGCCGGAGAAGGAACACGGATGAGGACGCAGTGGCCAAGTAAACACAGGCCCATGGATGGATTTTACGTGACAGGCTCCAGATGTTATTAAACCTGAACACAGGGGCTGCCCTCAGCCTGGGAGGGCCACGGAGTCTCACCCGTCCCGTGAGCCCAACTCCAACTTCAGGGTGGGGCTGCTGGAATGGAGTCATAAAAGACTCACATTATGTGGCCTCCAGGTTAAATCCCTGGAGCACCCCACACTCCCAAATGGGCCAATGGGGGCCAGAGGCTCCAAGGGGAGGAGCTAAATGCTGCCCTTCAGCGAGCGTGTCTCTTCCTTGCTGCTGGGGCTGTCCCCCTTCACCAGCCCCATCCAGTTCCCCACTCGCTGAGGCAGCTTGCGACAGCCCCATGGAAAGGACAAGGCCCGACTCATCCAGGTTACAGTCGCTTTGCTCGGCCTTCTGGTTTCTCCACTGGTTTGCTGCAGATCCAGTGTGCATCCCTGGAGCAGCCTGAACTGGAAACATCGCCTCTGTTCAGAAAAGCACATGGTCCTCCTCCCGCTATTGGAAACCTGCAAGAGCAACAAATAATAATATTAATAAATCCAACAAAACTATGAAAGCAGCTTCAACTAGCAGCCATAATCTGGCTTCAAGCAATTTGTCCAAAGGTCACAGCAAACCTGGGGTAAAACCAGGAATTGAACCAGATTTCCCAAGTCACAGCCCAGGCCTCAGCCACAAGGCCAGAGTCCTGTTTTACATGTGAGCTGCAACATTTATGGAGTTAAGAGAACTAAACGGGACCCACCAGTTGTTGAATTCAGTGCCATTGGTCCACATCCAGGGTTGGTCCTGTTCCTTCTGGAGGCCGATCCAATGGTCAGAGGGTCCTTTATGGCGCATCAGGAAATCCTTTGTTAAAAAAGTAACAGCAAATACACGTTACACATCTCCGTCTCTGGGATCTCTACAACCTACACTGGGTGCTGGGCAGGTGGTCCAGGCTGGGAATTCTACACCAGGAAATGACATCCCAACCTCAGAGGCAGCACCCGTCCGCTCATGAACTATGGGTTGGTCAGTCCACACAGGAACATCGTGCTAAGACTAGTCTAGTGTATTTCGCAGAGCTGGCTGAAGATTTTCCATCAAAATATTTCTGTGACAGAAAATGTGTTTCCTACGAAGATGAATTTTTCCTAAGTTTAATTTTGATTTCACTGAAAAGTTTCTATTTTCCATTGGGCAATGATTTTGTTTCGGGTCAGTTCGACATTAATCTGTAGGCAGCTGAGTTACCAAGGTGCCTCATGGGAGTTATAGTTTGGGCCTCATACCTCCATTCTCTGCTATCGGTTGGGTTCCCCCAGACTACATCTCCTATAATGCACCATTGTTTCCCTATTGACTGAGCCACTGCTGGGCATCATGGGAGATGTAGTCCAACCTGGGATCTCAGCACAGAGAAGGGGGCAGAAGGCCCCCAAACTACAACTCCCATGAGGAACCACAGGTGCTGTTCAATGTTGAACCATGCTGAAACAAAATGTTCTGATTTGGTTTGACAAACCAAACTGCTTTGCTATGTGAATGATGAAAGAAATTGGTTTGATCAGATTTGGAAACCAGATATTTTCACACATTTCTGGAACTGAATGGAAAGTTAAAAGTTTGTGAATTTAAACTTCTTGTCCTGATTCATGATAGACGCAAATGTGAAAATATCAGAATTTCCCACCTCAATTCTGATTTAGCAGCTACTGGCTCAGCTTCTCAGCCACATTCCAGACCTTTACCACTCCTGCATTCTTACCAAATCCTGTGATTTTACTGAGAGTCTCATGCTGTTTGGTGCTTTTCTTAACACCCCAGCTCCTGGAGTCAGGTGACTACAAGAGACTCTCGTCTTTCAGAAGTTTCTAGCCCTCATGGTTGCAGAGAAAAAAAACTTGTAAATGTGACCCCTAAAAGCTACGACACCAGAAAACAAATTAAAAGCCTTGAAAGCTGTTATTTGAAAGTCAATCTCATGGTTTGGGGGGGGTCCCAATCCATGATTTTTGAACACTTGGGTTGGCAATGCTGCTCCTGTCACATTAACAGGGCTGGAAAGTAACTGGATTCCCCTGCTGGGAATTCCCCAGGAATGGAGGGTCGGCGTATTAGCCCCACACTGCTCCGATTCAACCCCCAGTGACCGGGGAGGATGGAGAGTGGGTGGCGCAATCTGTACTCTGGCTATTCTGGGATGTGAGAAGTTTCTCTCAATACAAGCAGCGTCTGGGGCCCTGCCAGCCCCAGGGCAAACCCAGCATAAAGCCGCCTCTGCCACCCCCACCCTGTGCAGCCCAGAATCTGGGTCTCACCATTTCCTGCTGGGTGCCAATCACAGCCAGGGAGGCACCGAGGGCAGAGCAGTTGTCCTGGCTGTTGGTCCAGTTCCCTTCGGCCTGTGAGAAATAGTAACACTTCCCCAGGTAATTGATCCAACTGTCTGGGCAGGCAGCACCAGCTGGACACGGCTCCGGTTTCTTTGCTGGAGATGAGAAAGTAACAGGGTGAGAGATTTGCCCATCTCCCTCTGTAGCCACGGCAACAAGCCCCAGTGACACCACACCATGGAACTCCGCACACCCTCCACACCATGGGAAGCTGCGCTTGTGCCTAGACACGTTCCCCTTCACAACAGAGAGAGGCCAGCGCCACCCACCAGCTCCCCACAGCGCCGCGAGCTGTGAATTTGGGGCCACGTTTCCAGCCCTGGGCTCCTTTGCTGGGGCCCCGGCTTTGCCCCCTGCAGTTACCTGCAGACGCTGCCAGGGAGACACCTGATTGCACCTGCACATCAGGCACTTCGGCATCTGACCGGGTAATAACTCAGACTGCTCAGGCGTTTGAGCAGGGCAGGATGGTTCAGCTCTGGGGTCCTAGGCTGGGGCTGGGCGTATTCGGGCTGCAGCCTCTCTCTAGTGTCAGGTCTCAAGTGGCTGAGGAGAAGCAGTCATGTACCTGCAGCTGGGGGCATCCCTGCCGGTGGGTGTCTATGTGCAGGGCCGAGGGCGGCTGTCACTTGTCACAGCTGTGCAGTGTGAGAGGAGCCCAGGCTGGTCAGTCCGAGGGCTCAGTGGTACCCCAGTTCCAGGCTGCACCCCGGGGGGGGGCCCATCCCACTGCCCACTTACATCAATGGGGAGAATTACTGTGGACGCTCGGTATAAAGGTTATTTTCCAAAGCCCTGTGGCTCTCCGGGGGCAGCTGTGGCTAAGGATGGGAAGGGTACCTGTGTCCCAGGGGGCCACCTGATTGACACAGAGGGTGACTGTTCAATTTGCAGGGACCATAGCCCACCAGAAACACAGCCACAAATCCTGAGCTCCTTATGCCACCTGACAAGGCAGCAGGGGCGAAGGGCCCAGTGACAGTCTGTCCCCCACCCCCCACTCCAATATTTTCTATGCCCGTCTGCAGACAGCACAGCGCTCTCAGATCCCAGCCATGTGCAATGCAGGGCAGTTAATGTCACTGGGGGTGTTCACCTTTGCCAAGGTCAAGATCTAAACATGGAAATGGACCTGCCTTTGATGCTGCATTAATGTAATTGCACTAACTGAGAAACAGAAGCTCCCCCCGCTGCAGGCAGGGGGGTGACACGGTGACTCACGGCCCTGGGTAACCAGGGGTGTTGGGGTGACAGGGCAGAGTGAGCCAACAGCCAGTGGGAGCTGGACACTGGGGGCGGGGGAGACCCCACAGAAACGCCCCGGGCTCAGCAGAGTCTGATGTGACTGTTGAAGCAGGGGTGGGCTGAGGGGGGAGAAGTTGGGGGGGGGATTGTGAGGTGCAGAGACGGGGTCAGTGCGGGCTCCACACTCACCTGGCAGGGCGATGACGAGGATCAGTATGAGATTGAGAACCGCACTCAGAACTGTCCAGCTACATGCCACCCATGGTTTAAATTTAGACAGCAAACCTGTAATAGAAACAGCCAGTAATGCTCACGCTGCTGCTATGGCGTGGAGGGCGGGGCCCTACGCTGATTAACGGCATCAGCTGGAGCTCGTTTGAAAACAGGGGATATTTTGCAAATAGAGAGACACATTTAGACTGAATGGAGTGAACATTTTCATTCCAACTAGGTGGGAAAAGTCCTTTCAACTTTTCTGGAAAAAAAATGTGGGTTTCAATTTGAGGTTTTCAGAGATTTCCCCAGCCCCTTGAAAATGTTTCCAGTGAAAGTATTTATTTAAAAAGGGAGAGAATGGGGGGGAAGGAGACCCTGACATTTTAAATCAAAAATTGATTCTTCTCTTATTTTCTAACATAAAAATTCTCCCCACCCCCAAAAAACCTTGTCCATCTGGAATGAAGACTGGGATTGTTTGCATCTGAAACCCTGAAAACTTCTGAACAAAAAAAGGAGGGGAAAAAATTGTCTTGTTGAAAAAAGCATTTTCCACCCAGAAGGCGTTGATGGAAGTTGACCAGCCTGTCTAGCACTGACAGAGGAAGTGGGGTGAATATGCAGGGACTGAGCAGGGACCTCTGGATGGAAAGACACAGACAGCTCCTGCCTGGGCTCAGGGCCGGTGCCACCACTAGGCAAACTCCCTCCCGTCCCTTCCCCTCCCCTCATGCAGAGTGCGGCGCGGCTGACTGGGCGCCTGGGCCTGATTTAGCTGCTCCCATTGGCCTCCAGCAGGCACAATCCCCCCCCCCCCCGCCTCTGCCCCCTCCCGCCTCAGCATCGCGTCGCCAGCAGGCTGCGGGGGAGGGGCTGTGGGCTCAGCAGCCGGTTTGGTTTCGCTCCATGTGGAGCCAGCGTCTGACCGGCCTGGGCATGGGAAGGGGAGTCCTGAGGGGGCTGTCAGGGGGCGGGGGGAGGGTTGGATGAGCTGGGAGGCTTGCGGGGGTGGCGAGCCCCAGCCATGGAGGAGCCGGCGCAGTACAGGGGGGCAGCAGTCCTGCAAAGGCGGCAGCATGGCTAGTGGGGAGCAGCTGCACCCCCTACCCCGGCTGCGGTCTGGTGCACCCCCCCCCAGGGGCTCCTGCAGGCTGCAGCTGATGCATGCACCCCCCAGCTCCCATGTGCCCCCCGGCTTTCCCCTCGCCACGCTCGGGCTCTGCAGCTCCCGGGTATGTGAGCCACTGGGGTGCGGGGCCCTGAGCCTGCTCCGGGCGGGGCAGTGGCGGTGGTGGCTCACACTCCCAGGAGCCGCAGAGCCTGAGCACGGTGAGGGGGGAGCCGGGGGGCGCATGGGGGGCTGGTGCCCGCATGCATCCGCTGCAGCCTGCAGGAGCCCCCGCGGGGGCACTGGGCAGGAGGGGCAGGGGGCGCGGCTGCTCCTCGCTAACTGCTGCCCCCCTGCACCGCGCTGGCTCCTCCATGGCTGGGGCTCGCCGCCGACGCTCTGGGTCTCCGGTGCCTCCGGAAGGCGGCTTCTCCCTGCCGAGCTGCTGCAGCGGCCCCAAGCCCGGCAAAGCCAGGGAGTGGACATGGGGCGCAGGCCACCAGGGTGGGGAGGGGAGGGCTCGTGGGGGGGGCTGTGCACCCTCCAGGGGAGTTAAAGGGGTTGGGAGGGGGGAACCTGGTTTGGGGAGCAGCCCCTGGGCACGGCTGGCCCCTGGGGTCTATAAAGGCTCATTGGGATTTGCCCCTCAATGAACCGATGTGCTGGGGGGGAGGAGGGGGGGGAAAAAGGTGGAAGTTTTGGCTAGGGCGCAAAATATCCGTGCACCATATCCGTGCACCGGCCCGGCCTGAGCTAAAGGCCGTAGCTGACTTGTGTCTTTTACACGGACCGGCCACTAGAGGGAGATAAAGGCCCCCACTGAGTTAATGCGGGTTGGAAAGGGGACATGTAAGATCTCAGAGAGGCAGCTGTACCTGTAGGGCAGATTGTGCAGCTCTCTCCACCCTGTGGGGGGATGGACACATGAGTTGTTCTGTTGTGTTTCAATGGGGTTTCCTGGGAACCCAAGTCTGGATCTGGCTTCATCTCCTCAGCAGGATACAACCCGTTCAACATCTTCTCTCTCTCTGAAAGACTCATGGAGTCCAAAACGGGCGACTTGTTCATCCGAACCATCTTTCTGCAGCCAGCGGTAACTGAGGCCTGTTCGCAGTGGGTCTGGCGGTGCCGGCAGAGCCCTTCGTAAGGACAGTTTCAAAGCAGCTCACTCGATTACAGCTCAGGTGCGGTTTGGCTACGTGGGATGAGCAGTGAAAACCCCTTTCCAATATAATTGGATGGTGTGTTTTGCCCGAATACCCCGACCAGCCAGGCTGGGTCTGGGCTGTGTTCCAATGAACTGTTTCAAAGCTCCCTTGACACGGCTTTTATCCCCAGGGTCAACCAGGCCTTAGCAGGCGCTGCCCAAATCAACTCCAGGTCACTGAATCGTCCTTCTTCTGTTTCTTTTCACTGGCGTCCCGTCCCGTGGGGTCTGGGTTCGAGGTTTGCCTGTGGAGAGAATTGTCGGGTTACTCGGGCTGGCTTGTGTCGGTGTTTATCTGCCCAGACACAGCCCTGCACAGCAGGGTCGGTTAGAGCTGGCAGTGCTAGGACTGCCCTGGTTTCTCTACAGGGATTTGCATCTGAAGTATCCCAAAGCACATGACAAACACATGGAGGCACACGCTGGACTGGGGTCAGTTCCATGTAGAGAGAGTGGGGCCAGATACCCAGCTTCTGGTGTGAATTGGGGCAGCTCCATTGAAATCACTGACCCCAGACCCACAGCTGGTGAAATTAGCCATCGCTCCACTGCAGTCAATGAGGTCAGATCCCCAGCTCTGTTTGTCTGTGTATACAGTTGTTACAACCACACCTGAATTGGCAGGAATGATCTCTTCCCCTTATACAAATAGTTTGCAAGGAGTCATTATGGTTTAATTGGAGAGCCTGGAATTTTGGCGGGGGGGGGGGGGACGGGGACGGACAGTTCCTGCTTTCTGCCCCTGGGGGAAGCCCCGTGAAGTCCCTGCACCCCTGGCAGGACAGGGATGGGGAGAGCAGCAGACACTGATTCCCAGCTGAGCCCTGTGACAGCAGCAGAGCTGCCAGCTGAGCAGATCTGACGGGAGCGACTCCCACAGCAGCCAGCACCAACTGCTTCAGCGGGAGGGGCAGGACACCCCTGTACTGGACAGTGATGGAATAACCTGCCCCAGGGAGAGATTCTTCCCTCACCCCCATTGGTTAGAAGCTGGGGCTTGTACCTTGTCACTTAGAGCCCTTCCCACTCCAGGTTATTGTGTAATATTGACGGTTGGTCCCATTATCACTATAAACGCCAAGAACTTATCAGGAGTCAGAAAGGAAGATTGTCCAAGGAGATCTTGTGGCAGTGAGTTCCACAGGTTAGCTGTGCCTTGTGTGAAAACGTATTTCCTAAGATTTGAATTTGCCACCTTTTCAAGTCAGGGGCGTGGTCAGGGGAGTGGCTCTGATAGGGCTTCTGGGAGAGCTGCTGCAAAATGACACCGCCCCCTAGTGGAAATGAAATGTCATTTCACTCAGACAATAAACAGCTCCATCAGTGAATCAATAAAAGGCAGCTAAACAAACAGCCCCCTCCTCTCACAGCTCCTCTCGGGTATTAGCAGAGCCGTGGGGTAATGGGGGAGGGAGGTAACGGCTACCTCAGCCAGCTGGGAATTGCCCCATAGTCCCATTGTGTGTCATAAAATGCTACAAGGGCAGGGATCCAGGAGACAGAAAATGCAGCCGTTTCCCCGGTAAGAGTCTCCTGTGCTCATACAGGGAGCCCATTTCTCCCCTGCCCGGCACCTTGGACCATCGCTGCCACCTGCCCAGTGGGGTATAAAATGCCACAGGATTAGAATTCTCCTCTCACTGGTATCCACTTGCATCACCACCGACCCACCTGGCCTGGGCTGACGCCAATGAATCACTAGAGGTCTGTCTACACTGCATTGTAAACCCAGTTCTGTGGGACCCAGGCTCGGGGACTGTGTCCAAGCCCATGTGTGAGCATCCACACTGCACTGCAAACCAGGGCTTACAACTGCTGTCCTTGGGTCTCCCAGCCGTGCTAATGGTCCACACCACACCAACCTTCTGACTGGTCTGCAGCTTGGTCTGTGTCCACACTGTGTTCTGTTGTGACCAAGACAGAATTGAGCCAGCCTGCCCTGCCCCGCCCCTCTCCCCACAACAGGACACAGACTCAGACCCACATCCCAGCAGGGTCCTAGGACCCGGGTCCTGAGTGCTCACGGACCTGAGTCAGATTGATCTGTGTGTGGACAAAAAGGGGTTTGGGCTCAAACCTGGGTCAGAACTGGGTTTACTGTGCAGTGTAGACACTCGTTTTCTTCCACCGGTCAGCAAGAAGTTACCAGAATAAGGAACGCAGCATTAGTCTGATTTTAGATTCCCCTGGAACAATGAAAGGAGCAGCCCACCCTCCTCACAGCCCCCATCTGCCCCAGGGGGCATTTGTCCACCGCTGCTCACAGGAGCCAGGCTCTGCAGATGGTGGTGAATGTCATTTGCAAACCACATATGATATCCTCACACACACCAGCCAATGCAATCCATAACCGCTCCCCAGTGTCTGTCTCTGCTCTGGCAGGGAGAGAAGCAGCAGCTGTTGCCCAGGGGGTTTGCAAGAGGGACTCACCTGCCGGGACAGACAGCGCCAGACCAACAGAGCAGGAGCCAGAGAGTGAATCCGGCAGCTCCGGGCACCAGGCGGCCCCAGCAAAGGCACCAAACGGAGCCGGCACCGAGGGTCTGAGCCCAGGGCAAACCCCGCGGGCTCCGCAGTGGGGTGCAGAGATCAGACCCCACCTGGCTTTGCAGGGCGGACACATCCCGGGCTGGGCACTGGGGCCTGCCCAGGGCATCACTGCCCCATCCCCAGCGCTCCCCGCCCCATAGGAGCCCCCGCAAAGACCCGCGGCGCAAATGAGCTGGATTCGTAGGGACAAAGCACGGGAGACCGTATGGAGGCAGCCCGATCCCCAGGACAGCTCCCCATGCAGACACACCCACCCACACCCCCGCCCCTCGCAGCTCTCTGCTCACCTGAGCCGCAGCCCCCCAGCTCCCGGCAGGACCCAGCGAGGAAAGGGTTAATTCCGATCGCACAGGGTGTGGGACACGCACCGCTCCAGTCCTGTTCTGGTCTCTCCTCTATGGCGCAGGGGGGTTATATACATACAGCTCCTCCCTCTGATCTGTTCCTAGGGAGAGTGAAACAGAAAATAACCAACCAACTGCCCTGCCTTGTTCCCTCCTTCAGAAACACGCCCCGGGGGGCAGGAAGCCGAGCTCTGGCAGGGATCCTGAGCCAACAGACTCTGTGGTGTCAGCGAGCTCCCGAGGGTCACTGAGGCAGGCAGATCAGGCCAGGCTAAGGGACACCAGTGATTGAATCTAGTCCCCGAGTGTAACACAGTTTGGGGGCAGATTTCCCCTGGGGCTGAACCCTGCAGGCTGCGCTGACCTTGGGCCTGCCTGCACTGTAGGGTCCTGCAGCTCTCAGGGTCCTGGTCGGCTCCCTGGTGTGCATGGGGCTGTACTGGGATAAAGGGGCTCAGACTGGTACCGAGATCCCCAGGCAGGAAGGGAACATGCTGTAGAGGTGCAGGGCACCTTTATACAGAGGCAGATCACTGTTTTGTGGGGCCCTCGGCCAGAACAGATGGACGCCTCTCCGACCCCCTTCTGGTACTCCTGCCGGGAAGCAGGGTCAAGGCAGGGGGGCTTGCCCCCCTGTGCCCATCTGGCACTCCTGCCAGGGAGCAGGTCAGGGCAGGGGGCCTTCTCCCCTCCCCCCCCCACACCTGGCGCTCCTGCCAGGGAGTGTTTGTTCCCAGCTGAACCTGCTGGTACACTACACCCGCTCTCTTTGTGTTGCACTCCACATTCTTCATGGAAATATGCTTATTATGAATATGACATAACTGGAATATGCTTTATGCAAAATGCTTCATGTAAGATATCATTGGCAAGGTTATAGTTTGCTGAATGTGTATATCTTTGTATGCATGTATCATTTCTGTATCTGAAGCTGGGAATATTGACTGTAGATTTATTATCAATGTTTTCATGTTGGGAAAAGCCTATTACCGGCCCATCAGGTACAACAATGAAAATCCAGACACAGAGCTAATGGCTCATTACCAAGAGAGGCAATGAACTATGCAAAACCTTGGTTTTCCTGTAAGACTGAGGATCAGCCTGTAAGAAATGGTTACTGGCTCTGCAGCAACCTGTGATCATGTCCCCTGATGCTGGAATCCATGTTGGATTCTTTACTTTTCCTCAAGAAGGGAGAGGGGAGTCTAAGAAGAAGACAAAGGATTCTCACCGTAGGCCAGTGGTTCCCAAACTTTAACATCCTGTGAACCCCTTTCATTAAAATGTCAAGTCTCGCGAACCCCCTTCTAAAAATGAATATTTCCAGGGATATTTTCCTTTACCTGAGCATAAATTATAAAAGGAGTGATCTTGGAAATATAACATTTGTTTTTGTGACATGCTTATTACACACTATTTATTATTAATTACTATTTATCATTACAGTATTTTTATTACATTATGAAACGGCAACACTCTTCCCAGATCTCACTTTTTTAGCTTGTATCACTTTGCATAAGCCTGTTATAAGACAAGGCTCTTAGGTTTCATCAAGGAGTATCAGATGTGAAACAGCAGGAAGGTATTTAAGAAGACAACTCAAAGAGTTCCTCCTACTCAAACATTCAGGTCTTGCGCAGTCCAGGCAAACAATGCACGTTACACCAAAGCTTAAACTTGTTCTTCATAATAATTTTAAGAACAATACTAGCTGCCTATTTAATTTTAAAAACAGCAAAAAATATCCACCTCCCTTTCCATTTCTTATAAGGAGTCTTGAAGTTTAAATCTCCTCAGTGTGATAGAGATGCTTGCTTTGATCTGCTTAGCTCTTGGAAGTCCAGGGGCTCCAGGCTGCTGGCCCCGTGCTGCCCGGGGTCCCTAGGGACAGCTCTGTCCGCCATTAGGGAATTTTTTCCTGAGAACCCCCTGTAACATTTCACGAACCCCCAGGGGTTCACGAACCCCAGTTTGGGAACCACTGCTATAGAGCCAGCCCTGGAGCAGGGAAAGAACTACATTTCCCAGCATTCCCTTGGCTGCAATTAACAGGAAAGGGAGGGGGAAGGAGCATGGAACTGAAACCTCATGCTGCAGCTTGCTGTGAATGGTAGGGACAGAGCCAGCTCGAAGTTTTTTGCCACCAACCCACCCCAGCTCTAGCCCCCACCTGCACCCCCTGCTGCCCCAGCCCTGGGCTCTCCCCCCACCCCCGCACCTCCTGCCGCCCCAGCCCTGAGTTCTCCCCCAAAGAAGGAATTGGGGGGACTAAATGGACGGTGCACCTCACTATCTGAAGCCTAGCAAGGGAGATACGTGGATCCCACTAGAATTTAAAATGAAAAGTAAGGGAGGGGAGGCTCTCCTAGACTGGGCAGCTTTAGATACAGTACCAGGCATGTAGGAGGATTTCCACTTCTGAGCCATGGAAGCAGAAATTGACTTTTCCTTTCCAGATTTAGCTAATATCCAGAAAGGGAATCTAGCACCCGCCTTCCAGATTTGAACCCTCAAAATTCAGGAGTGCTCAAGCTCAGTTTGGGCAGCTGTTACTTCATTTCCCCCAAATCAAATCTACTGATCCACTGGAACTTGCTGTAGAAAAAGCAGG